CTAGAGTTCCCGATCCATCAACCCATCCTAGTCGTCCTTCCTCGAAGCCCACATCGCTATCCACCACACCTTTCGACGCTGCTGGCAGCTTAACCGTGGAGAGCCTATATGAAACTTCCCCGCACTTTTCAACATGTGGCCCCCTTTTTTGGCTACCTTTCACGTTATTTTCAAAGCGCAGTCAATGACGCCTTCTACTGTACGGACAGTCGACGCCATGAATGAAACAAACGACGCTGAGTGGGATGAAACGGCGATTTCTGACAAAATCGTTTTCAGTCGTTTTTTGGCATTCAGAAGGCCATTTAGCGGAAATGGACCATAGTTTTATACTCAGTGCTCATGCCCCTATACCATGCGGAAAACCATTTTCAAAAAGCGTCCCACGCCCTGAAAGACCTTCCTTGTTAGATAATTCTTGGAGTCACACGTTCATCCTAGGAAGAAATCTCAGAAACCATTTTTAACGTGAACTGTGCCTTTGGAACCCTTTTATTTCTGCTGTACCGCCCCCTCTCCTCGCACCTCTACTGGTTTAGCCGAGACCATGAACGTGCCAAAAAACCTATTATATAGATGCCTTTTACTGTGTGTGACATATTTTTACATTGTTAGAGAAATTTTGGACTTCTTCCAAACACTCACCATAACCACTGGACGTTCGTGAGCGGTGGCAATGTCGAAGAGAGTACGCCGTGTGGCAGCTCTCCAACGATGATCCATATTGTCGAAGAAGACTGCGCTCACAGCGCATTCGACTGTTCCCATGTGGGAAACAGGAATTCCTCCGCCTTAACGACTATCTATTAGCCCTTGATAGTTTTTCAACTATGCGATCGTTAGCAATAGTTTAATATGATGAACATGACATGTTCCCCGTATTTCTCTTGCCGGTGAAGATCATAGAAAGTGCTGAGCAACCACTCAGTACACGACTTGAGGTGGGCACGTGTCCTCGACGAAACATGCTGCCATCAACGATAACGCGTGTTCACCTCTAGCGGCTTTCAACGATTTCTTGGAAAGAAACGAACGCACCCGCCCACTGAATCGGAACTTTCGGATGAAGAACGCCGTTCCTAGCTGGCAACGAGACCACAGGAATGAGCTGTTCAGTGGCGATCGAAGAGTTGAAGGCGAGGTTGTGCCGACATTCATCTAAAAGTGTCATCATTCATTTTTATGGCATCGAAAGGGGGATGCCGAATGTGGTCTGCATGTCGGCATGATCTTTATAAAGAAGAAACAATTCAACAAGTGGCTGGAAGCTTGTTTTCCAACCGGAATCTTTTCTATAGAATGAGGGACGGGCAATTTTGCACGAATACCTTGGAGATGTGCTAACCATTGAAAAAGCTCTTGTACTGGTTCAACGATAAGAACTATCCGTTTCGGAGTCAAGGCCAACTTCGGCGCAAGGACAATCTGACTAGTAGGGCACAAAACACTTTGAGTTTACACCTTCTGATAATTCCTTCGTGATGAGCGATTCAACACAGTTTATCAAGAAGTTCCCGTGTCAAAATTGCTGTTGTTCTCCAAGGCTGGAGAAAGGTACAGGATCAAATCTAGGATTGTTATGTCTTGAAAGATGACTGATGTAATCGCCGAACTCCCACGAATGACCGTCCAACCGGGGGACGGTAAATCTCGCTTCGAATCTATGTCGTATGCAATAAACAGACGATTGGCGGGATTCGATTCGTTGAGAAGCGAAAGTTCATCACTAATCGGGTGAATTTTAAAGACTCCAGCGGTATCTATCTTCTGCAAAGTCTGCTCAGAAATTCGACGAGAAGCTCGAACCAACCACCATTTCAAGGAAAGAAGGAGAATCTTTGAATGCTCAATGACCCGCTTCGGATCTGAGGTATACATGGCTCCAGTCATGAGCCTCAAATACCTTAATCCCATGTGCATTCGAGGGAATGTTCTGTAGTTCGATCAGGAAACGTGTCATACCCACCCCATCTAAGCCGAAGCTGATCGGATTTAGTTTGTAATCTTATCGCAGCGGAGGGATTTCACTAAAGTGGAGAGGCTTTTGCGGGGATGATGTGAAATGGTTTTTATAAAAAAAAATCAAACTTGCCTAGACGATCGACGCAGTAGCCAGCAGTGTTCAGATACACAGGTGCCGTAGATGGACAGACACAGCTGCAGCGGTCACTGAGAGAATCGTTCAGTACCGCCTCTTCGGCATGGAACAGTTGCGAGCAGGACGGAGGGCAGACGGATGGGAAAAGCGCATCCGGCAAGCCCGGTTTCCGTACTAAATTAGTCTCGATATTGAACAGTTCAGAAGAACCACTATGCGAGAACTGTTCAAAATAGCTGATAAGGTAGGTTTTAGGGCAAAATTTGCATCCTACCTATGGACGTGAGAATGCCGTTCACGATTGTATGAGGTGGAGCAGCTTGCAGCTGCAGAATTACAATTAGACAAAGAAGGACGACGGTTTGTAGCCGTATTAGGAGAACAGCCGCCATGGCAAGGGGATATCGGCTGCTGACGTGTGTACGAGTGCGTTAGTGATACGTTATCCAGTGGTCATGTTCGATCGGATAGAAGGTCAGCAAACAACGGTAACGAACGACAGAGAGATGTACGCGGATGGAGTCGACGACGACCCACAGAGGAGAGGAGCCCCTGCGTCCCTCCCCGTCGTGAAGGCGGTACGCTCGCTTCTCGGCGCTCTGCCAACGCCCTCGACGAATACGGTCGATCAGTGTAGGTGATAAGGGAAGGGATCCGAGCGAGCGACTGACGAAGGACGACCTCGAAGTCGCGGTGACCTGTCGCCGACAATCGCTCCTGACAACCGACAAACAGCTCCCAAGCACGTTCGCTGTGTGAAATCGTAGAAAGTGCGTGAACTGGCAAAGTGAGGTGACAGCGATCTTCACTCAACAGTCTAGCTTACCAAGGTTGATTCAGAATTTTGAGCAAGATTTTGAATACTTACAGAAATAACTGGGAGTGACTTCTTTTCGAACTCATTCTTGCAATTCGACGTAAACTCTGCTGTTTCTGATGCCTGATTTATTCAGTATAGGAAGCTTTCATTTGACGTCGAACAGAGAAACACAAAGATTATGTAGCGGTCGCATTCTAGCATCTCTGGACCTACAGTTGTAGTATCATCATAGTATAACTAAGGTAATTCTAAGTCGTACTGTACAGACACCGTGGGAGATGGTAAGATATCGGATTACGCCATATAGCTTGTTCACGCTTAAATTTTTTGAAAGTCGTTGCTCTACGACCAGTCTACGAGACGATATGCAGAGAGTTCAACAGAAATTTATATTTCAGGCAGATAGAGCACGAGCGAATGTCTAAACGATACCCATTCGTTTGTATAGAGCTCATACATATGTAAGAGCTGTTCGCCTTTCAGCGCGTTGGTAAGTTATTACACCCTCAATATGAGCAGTGACGAATAGCACTCGTACTAGTCATGCCCTTCCTTCTTATGACTGAATTGACGTCGATAAATAGTCTCTGACAGCTAGAATCTTGCCTTCAATTAGGGTGATAAGTGAGGGATAGAAGGAAGCCTAGTACTTTTTCACTCTAGGTTCCCATTCTGAGTGCGCCTCACGTCACCTTGCACAAAGCCGACACTTCGAATGACGACGAGCTGAATGCCTTTCTTTCTGATCTGATCCGATCCGAGTAATCTTTTTCTGTTGCTACAACAAAAATGCTATAAGAAGTACTGATTGGTGATATGCTCACTATGTGAGCACCTATGGATGAGTATGGTACTTACGCCAGTAATCGGTGAATGTCAACCTACACATGGTGCTTTGGTTGTCTAGTGAACAAAAGTAGTCAAACCTCAGTGACGACTACTGTGGTATTCTTTCCTGTACCTAATAACATGACTTATGGGCAAGCTTTTGTAAACAACCTTTTAGTTAACCAATGCTAACAGAATTTGGAAACCTGAAAACTCACATGAGACAGGTGTGTTCCTTCTTGATAGGGTTTTTGAGAATCAGTTTAAGTTTCTTCTAGGTAGGCTAACTTTAACCATTGCCTCTGCAGCAAAATGAGAAGCTTGTCGTTAGTTGCTAAAGGAGGTTGCTGAGCAAAGGCTAGCACAGTGAAATCGGATCACATTGTCCTCATTACGCGCTTCGAGGCTTTGGTTTTTTGAAGTATATCCCGGATCCTCTTTCTCGATGGAGCTCATAAGCTTCCTCTGCACGATCGCGAAGCGTGAAGAACTCTCCGCCATTGTATGACCGCGCAAATGTTAACTTTTTCGTATTGATTCAGCGCGATCACTGTGCATTCACTTTACCAAAGAAGCTTTTAGAAACCCTACTCAAAGAAAGCGTTAAAAAGTTTGTGGTCGTCTATTGTATATATGAAACTCAGAAAATTGCTGATGTGGCAGGAAGGCGACTTACGACGTCGTGACCGAACTTTTAAAGGAAGGATGGTGAGGGAAAGATGAAGTGAGATTCAGGTCTCATTTCTTGATGGACTCCACCTTCGAATGAGGTATGTATGATAAGAGCCAGATTGAAGCAGTGGAATTGACGACAAGAGGGAGAAACAACTGATGTCAGCAAATGCAGAATGTATGATGAGGAGAAGAGAATGAGAACTTTCCAGTCACTCGGTTCTTCTTGTTCTTCTTGTACATTGCACCAGATCACCGACATAAACAAGCCCTGGTTTTCGATCATTGAAACAGCTTTGTTCCCTCTTTGAGTTCTCTTCAACGCTTACACGTTCATTTCTCGCACACGCACACCCTCATATAAACATCGTTTCCAGTGTTAGTACGTAATGAACAAGTTCATTTCGTTTGTTCGGAAATGGTGAGAATGATGAATTCCGAGAGATAAGCAGGCGCTGGATTCTTTGAAAACTTCCGTTTACCTTGTTTTTGAAAGCACAATTCACGAAAACTTTTAGGTCATCTGATTTTGGACGAGTGTTGGAAGTGACAGTTCAGTGCAAAAGTGGAGAAGAAAACGCGATAATGCACAGTGACTAGAANAGCAAGCCCAATCACTGCTCAAACACATTAGACATCACCTTCTTTCAACTGTTACACGTGAAAACTACGACAGTTTTCTTCCACTTTCTAGACAAAGGAGGAGCGCCTGTATTCTAGAATCTCCAACTTACGGCTACTTCAATAGTTATTATTTTGCGTTAAAGGCATAGTGCACGATAATTATGATCTAGAACAGTGCAAAAGTGGAGAAGAAAACGCGATAATCGGCGTATTTAGAGAAATACAAAGCTCCAAAAAAGGAGTGAAATTAGGGGTTGGACGAGAGTGTTACGACAAAAAGCGGCATGGAAGTAGTATCTGGACGAGCTCTTCGCGTTGTTCGCGCGTCGTTCGTTGTTCGCGCGCCATTGCATACATCTGGCTGCAATACGCTGCCAGCATGCAAGGTGTTGGTCCCAGTGCGAATGGTGCAAATCCCACAACTTTAGCTTCGCCTGATAACTCGTCCGGCTCGGGTGTGTACGTCAGTTATGCCGGTTTTGAGGGCCCTTATTGCCCTATCTTGACTGTTTTTCCATCCGACTGCGTCCCTCAGGCTATTCTCGGGTCACAAGTTCATCATAAGAAAAAATCTCAGAAACCAATTTTAACGCGAACTCCGCCTCCAATTATGTAGAGGACGGGCTTTGGGCCAGCCATACTAAATATCAAGCAATCGAAGCAACAGTTCCAGGTTCTTTGAAGGTGCTTCATGCCGATGAAAGAGGAAATGAAAAACTAAAAGCTACGTGTGTCGTCGAAGGTTCGGGTCGTAATGAAGCTCTTATGCAACTAAACTCTAATATGTTCAGCTCAAACGTTCGAGTCCAGAGCATATCATACCTAAAAACCTTCAGAGAATGACAAAAGTAGTTTGCGAACTTCCTCTAGCATAATGTCAAAAAGTAGCTAGTAGTAGAATGATTTGCAAGATTGAAAGTGGAGACGCAGTACTTAAGGTAAATTATTCTATCAGACACTGCTACAAGCGCCACAACTTGGAAAATCCTGCGATGACAACTAAAAGACTGCAAGATAGAAATCCATTCACAGTCCCGCCCTTTGAGAACAGTGGCCAGCGTCGGTGGTTGCTACCGCGGCCTGGAACAAGGATTGCCTGTATGAAATTGTGGGTACAAAAATGTTGTAGTTGGAGTTCTGGGACAGTCCCAGAACTCCAACTACTCCAACTACGTTCCTTTTCGAAGCGTTTTCCTTTTCGAGCTGAACACTTCGTTGAATTCTTTCATCCGGTTATAAGAAGGCCATGAATACAGCTGTACTCATCACAACAAAGAAACCTAACACCAAGAATCATGTACTCACCATTAGATGTCTTTATTGGTCACTAATCAAGTTATGATCAAATGAGCAATGTATTGGAGCTGAGTTGAACGGAACAACCCTAATGGGTCTCAGGGCAGATTTTTGCGGGTAACAATCATTTCATAAACAGCAACACGCTTTGCAAGAGTGGGTATTAAGCTTCACCCTGGAGTTGCATTGTGGTTTCACACAAGGATAAAACGAAAAGTTTTCGAGCGTCACCCAACGCATCCGCTTTCCATTCGTAGTGGTGTTCTGAATGCGTGTGTGGCCTTTACATTGCGGTGGCCAGCCAATGTACAAGTTAGAACTTTTATCCTCACAGACGAATTTGGTACCAATTAATCGGAGGAATAGAATGGGTTGACCTAGGTAGATATCGATCCGGGATGGAAGTGGAGGTTGTACGAGATCACCGTGACGGAAATGGCATGTGAGGGGTGTTTGGGCGAAATTTATCTTGCTCCCGTGCTCAAAGAGATGGCTACATCAAGCCGAAATGTCCGAAACTGCCTTTCACTGTCGCCATGGGTTATGACATGTTGTTTGAACTTCTTACATGGGAGTCTCTTGAGAGAGTGCAGCCTTCAGAAAGCAGTTGCAACTCGATCACGGTGGGTGTGGTATTCACACGTTACAATCTCTCTCCCCTAATCGTGCCCTATCCATGACGTTTTTCGACTTTATAACGGCAGGTATGGCATAAGGGAGAGTCTCGAGTTCATACTATAGGGAAATCCCACAATTTTTTTTTGAACTTTTCCTATAGTACCATTTTGAACTGTGCCTCTAATGTAATGGTGGGTCAACCTAAGGGGCAAAGGTGAAATCATGCCAGTTTGTTGTAAGATTGACATCCTGACAATAAATATTTAGCGCCTTCTCATCAGATGACCGATTTCGTCAACCCCTCTAATGTTTAGCTTTCCTGCTTCGCTTCAAAAGAAAATATAACAAGAATTGGGCGAACGTATGCCTAGCCTCCTTCGGTATAACCTCACGGATATGCAGTACCTGATTACAAGGTCCGAACAATTATTATATTAAGGACTGGCACATCACGCCAATTTTTTAAAAAACATGCTATGGGTGGGCTAACTCGAAATGCTCGCCATAAATTCTACTAAGCATAACAATGTGTAAAGCTTTGATCATTGAGAGTATTTCTCTGAAAATCTGGAAGGTTTAGGTCCAGTGAGGTTCTCTTCAGAGAATTTTTCGAAGTCCCTATGTATAAAAGAATCAAAAATTTGCGGTCGTTAGAGTGTT